TAAGACAAACACCTAAGTCCTTTAACACTTCAAGCTTCGTTTTTCAGACACTTGACATTAGAGAGGGACAATCTATCCTGACAGTGCACTTCTGCTCTGGACACTTAACTGAGACTTTATGTACAGCCTTAAAACAATAAAGTTCTCTGTTGGCAGGTTATAAATCTTACGTTTGAAGCCCCTTGGATTTCTATTCTTATACATGAATGTAAATTAATGAATAAAGGCATCCAAAGTTCAGAACTCAAAGGGTCAATCTGCCACTATAGTGTTAAAATACAAAATTTGTTAATCGTCTCTCCATCTTTTTTGCCTGCTAAAAACTGTGGTTGCTATGTTACGAGTGTCCTCAAGATAAGATATCAGCACTCCACAAAAGACCCAAAGTCAGTTACATATTTGAAACTGAAGGGGAAAAAAGGGATCCTCTTTACTTTTTAAAACCCCAGTTGCTTTTCTTTCCTAATTGATACTGCTGGGTCTGGCTCTTATGGTGGTAGCTGGGCATATTCTTACTAAATGATTTCTTTTAATTTACATTACATTCCAGGACTTAATTTTTCCCTTCCATTTTTATTAGAATGTGGTCAGAAAAAGAATGCCAGACCTTAGCCTGGTGGGGACAAAGAGATTCGTGTGTTTTCTGTAAGAGGTTTGACTTCTTACACCTTCCTGGTTTGCTACTTGAGATAGCTAATGATACTGGCCATGTGGGAACCTGTCTCTGAGTTAGCCAAATAGGAAATACATCAAACCCGTTATTTCAGAGACACCCCCCAGGAAATCAAGTATATCTCATAACCCTCTACCCCAAATCCTTATCCCCAAAGTTAAATGGCCCCTTTACTACTTCTACAACACCCAGGCTACAGGACATCAACATGCCCTCCCCTGGGACAACTATATGATTTGATTTTATCTATAATTATCCCTAATGCTCCTCTGTCAAAAACTTTCTCATACTTCTCTGGGACCTTGACCTCCAGGGAGACTTCTCAGATTTCTCATAACAAGACTTAACTCTTTAGTTGGAACTGCCATCTTCCTCACCTTAATACCCCATTTAGTACCTTGAAACTTCCTCGATGTGCACCTCAGTACTTACTAAACACAATGAATCTTACACAGGACTTACTAAACAAATTCTCATTACCTTTATCTCAATGATGCTGGATTTGCCTGGCTTTTTCTCCCTGACACATACACTGCCATAGCTCGTGTCTGAAGGACATTCACTGAACACTTAACCTACCAGAAGGAGAAGGGAACCTCCTTTTCAGACTGAACAGATACCCTACTTGGAAATCATCCCACCACTCTAACCGACGGAACAATTAAACGGTTGCAGACCTTTTCAGAAAACATTTGCTCACTCTTTTACACACCAACGCCCATCTCTGGGACAGTTCCATCAACCATAAACCTCACTCCAGCACCTTTTTATATGACCTTCACCAGACCTGGGCCCTTCCTGGGCACCTTACTCCAAAACTTTACAACCATACCACCAAAATCTTTCCCTCTAACACTTTCCATTCCCAACAGGTAGATTATACTCTGTCACCTCATGCCAAAAGATTGTTTTTACTATTCATTTTCTTCTTAGGATCCCCCAACTTTACCATGTTCTTCCTTTTTCTTGCCCTAGACCTACCTCTTAAATTCCTTCTCCTGGATCCATACTCTCAGCTGTCCCCCACAAACCAGTGGGCCAATCTTCTCCCTCCTTGGGGGAATACTTGCTAGTTCCTTTTCAGTCTGGAGTAATAAACCTGGACAAAATTGGGGAACTTATAATGTTCCCCACCTTTCTTCATTTCACCTTAGTTCATATCTGGCATAAGAAGGCCTGTTTTTTGTTTGTGGCCACCCGGTGGACAGGCCCCTGTATTCTTGCATATCCATCTCCTAAGATAAACATTGCCCCTCCTGATCAGTCTCTCCCCATCCCAGTAGTAACACATGTCAGGCCCAAAAGGACACCCATTCCTCACTGCCCTAGAGATAGCCTCAGAAATTAGAACAGGACTCAGAAATGGGGCATCTTTGCTACACTTTTTCCACACATTATCCCAAGACCTCCAAGAAAACTTAGAGGAACTATCCCAGAGCCTTCTAAAATTACAAGACCAAATAGATTCCTTAGCAGCCATAATCCTCCAAATCAGGCAGGGCTTAGACCCTCTCACTTCATCTATGCTTATTTCTAGATGAAGAATGCTGCTGCTATGTCAACCTGTCTGGACTCATCCGAGATGTTGCCAAGAAATTAGCAAAATGGGCTGCTAACCTCCAAAGACAAAAGGAAAACAATTGTCATTCCTGATTTGACTCACAAAACTGGCTTCCCGGGATCTTACCTCTACTTTACCCTTTAATCCTTCCATTATTTTATGTCTTCCTAGGTCCACTCCTTATATGAACTATAATCCAGTTCATTCATAACACTATTCACAATTTAATACATCACCCAGTTCCTTCTTCTCAAATAGGCTTGCTTGAGACATCAAAATCTTCCCAACCCAAATAACTCACCTCTATACCCTTGAAAGGAGTCTTTGCCCTTGTCCAGCAGGAAGCAGTTCTAAAAAATTTCTAAGTCACTATTCCTTAAGATAAAATGTGGGAGTTGTGGGAATGAAATCCTCACAACTATTTGTGAGTACAGACAAGAGTACAGCCATTTTGGGAAATAGCTGGTGAGAGAAAGCAGGCCAGAAACCAAACTGTATGATCACAGCAAACCCCCTCCCCACCCCCTGGAATGCTTCAGGACCACTGTTCCTGGGAAACAACAGAACAGTAACTTTTACTCTGGCAGGCCAGCTGGTGGCCAATTAAAGGAGTGACTCCCAGGTTTGCCTTGAGTGTAAAAATTAGTCCCTCTGCGGAAAGGGAGGACTGCCTCTAGCAACCCCCTCCCACATTCAACCCTACTGATAGGGATAATAAAAGCTTCTGAAACTGTGTCAGAGCTGAGCTGACTCCTCCTGGTCACACTCTGCTCTGCTGTTTTTCTCTCCTATCTCTGCTAATAAAGCCTTTCCAGTCCCTTGATTGGCTTCCTCTCCTCCTTATGGACCCGCCCCTCCAACTCTATCCCCACTCCCCTCATGTGCCATGGAATATTACTTAGCTATATAAAGATGAACTAATACATTTGCCACAATCTGAGCAGAACTAGACACCATTCTCCTAAGTGAAGTATCTCAAGAATGAAAAAGCAAACACTATATGTATTAACTTGGAACTAACCGATGGGCACACATGTGCACAGAGGGAGATAAAATTCAGTGGAAATCAACTGGAGAGGGAAGCAGGGGGAGAAAACTTTCCCACATGGGTACTATGAACACTAGTTAGGTGATGGGCACCTCCTATAGCTGGGATTCAAACATTAGAAAAATGATCCATGTAACCTCAAACATTTGTGCTCCCTTAATATTTTGAAATAAAAAAAGACAGCAGATAGCACTGTGAAGTAAAATTCAGTCCTTCGAACCTTTAAAACATACTAGTTTACTAGCACACAAAAAGGATATTCTGTTTTGAGACAGAATCTCACTCCATTGTTCCAGTTAAAGTGCAGTGGCCTCATCATAGCTCATAGTAACCTCAAACTCCTTGGGCTCAAGTGATCTGCCTCAGCCTGTCAAGCAGCTACTGGGACTACAGGAGTATACCACCAAGCTGGCTAATTTTTCTGTTTTCTGTAGAGAAGGCATCTTGCTTATCTCAGGCCAGTCTTGAATTTTTGACCTCAAGTGATCTTTCCCACCTCTGCTTTCTAGAGTGCTAGAATTGCAGGTATAAGTCACTGCACCCAGCCCAGAAAGGATATTTTACATTGAGACCACTAAGCTGCTCACAAAAGCTATGTGCCAGGCATTGTTCTGGGTTTTTCTACTTACAAATTCCTGGAATCCTTCCAACAACCGCCAATGGAGTAAATATTTACTATTATCCTCATTATGTTCCTTTTTCCAAGGAAAATAAGACTCAGAAGATCTGAGATTTGAACCTTGATTTGTTTGGATTAAAGTCTATGTTCTCTCCCCTGATGCATGATTCGTGAATATTTTCCCTGTCTCAAATCATCTACATTAAGAGAGATTTTAAAAAGTGGAATAAAAACACAACAGAAATATGCACTAGGAGGAAAGTGGTAGAGAAGAGAGCTGATTAGCTCTGGTGGGGTGAGAGGTGTGGGATTGTCAGGGAAGGAAGGCTTCACTGAAAAACTGGAGTCTAATCAGGGTTTAGAAGGATGACTAGAAATTACCCAGAAGCAATTTATACCTCCAGCCCAAAGTGGAGCACTGGTAGATGAGGACTGGAGCAGTGGGATAAAGTGGGAAGAAGGCTGGTCAGGTTAACAAGGGCTTTGAATGCCAAGAAGTTTGGATTTTTATTCTACAAGCAATATGGAGGCAGAAGCTTTTGAGTTTGAAAGGAATGAGCCCCGAGCCTGGCACGGGGAAGGTGGTCAAATGAATTAGGTGGACAGAAGGTACCTCAAATGCTGCTACTGACCAGGTCTCTCGCCCACTTCGCCCTTCTCTGTAAGCTTAAATACGACCTTTGGCAGAGATGAACCAATATGAGACCGTTGTGTGCATTGACCTTGTGTGTTGAGGTGCAGGAGGTATAACCCAGAGTCTGTCACACACTGGCGAAGTGACACCCTCGCTCCCCCTCGCTCCTCCTCCCCTCCTCTGGAGCAGGCATTGATTCCGTCTTCCTGGATGTTTTCTGCCCACATCCTCATCTGCTTCCCCTTCCCACTAACACAGTGTTTGCACTCCCTGCCCCCGCCAGGACCCAGCCTTTCTGGGCTGTCTCTCAGGTCTGAGCTGCCAGGAGCTCTGGGCTGCCAGGAGCCCTAGCCCGTGGCCGGGGGTGGTGGTGGGTTTGCCTGGAGACTTGCCACCCACATTCCGACCCCCGAGAGGGCGGGGACTCCGGCTCAGATATTTGATGCGTCCTCCCTTCCTCCCCTTCAGAAGGAGCGAAACACCTTGAGTCAAAATGGGTCTCTACCGTGTCCGCGTGTCCACTGGAGCCTCTTTCTATGCAGGCTCTAGCAACCAGGTGCAGCTGTGGCTGGTGGGACAGCACGGGGAGGCCGCGCTCGGGACGCGCATGCGGCCCGCGAGGGGCAAGGTGAGCTGCCCAGAGTCTGGCGGGGTGGGCTGCGCCCCTGGCCCCAGGTCAGTCAAATCCCGGGGAAATGTGCCAGCGCTTTCTCCACGCCGAGGGAGCACGCAATAAGCTCAAAGAGCACACCGAGACAGCGGGGTAAAAAGCGCCTTAGGGAGGTTGATGTCCTAGTCAAGTGCTTTGTGAATCTTCCTGCTGCTCTGCCTTTTTGGAATTGAGGGAACACTCTTGAGCGCTCCCTGTTCAAAGCTGGAGGGGCCTTTGATCCCCCTGTTTTCTCTATTTAAAAAGCTGTTCGGGTTTTTTTTGTTGTTGTTGTTTGTTTGTTTTATTTTATTTTGTTTGTTTTTGAAAGAGAGTCTCGCTCTATTGCCCAGGCTAGAGTGCCATGGCCTCAGCCTCACTCACGGCAACCTCAAACTCCTGGGCTCAAGCGATCCTTCTGCCTCAGCCTCCCATGTAGCTGGGGATACAGGCGCCCTCCACGTCGCCCAGCTAGATTTTCTATTTTTAGCAGAGACGGAGTCTGGAACTCCTGAGCTCAAAGGATCCTCTCGCCTCTGCCTCCCAGAGCGCTAGTATTATATGTGCAAGCCACCGCTCCTGGCATATTTTAAAAACTATTTCTAACATTCTCTACGATTGTGCTCCCATCTGGGGGGCATTATCACTTGGGATGGAGTGGGTGGTGAGCTGAAATCGGAGAGGGGTGGGAGAAGGAAGCCAAGACATGACAACCTTTAGAAATTTTGACCCACTTGCCCTTTCCCATCATAACCATCTGGTGTTCTACCCAGAGCTATTACTTTTTTCTTCCACCAACCTCTAAATTCCCATCACCTGTCCAGCTTTCTCTCATATTTGGATGTCTGTCCCAAGGGTACTTCAAAGGAACATCCCCCAAAGAGGTCCTTCCCCTTTCCCACTTCCCAGACCTCTCCTGCTGTCTCCCTGGCGCGGCCTCTGTCTAACCAAGAATGGAGCACAGTCAATTTTATCCTGGGCATCTCAAGCATCCGTGTTTTAACGTCTGCCTCACTCCTGACCACCAATGTCCCCTTGAGCCTGCGTCATCTTTACCCTCTTAACCGGCCTCACCATCTGTGCTCCAGACCTTTCAAGCCCTTCTGAAGGCAGAACAAATTCTCCCCAATACATTCCTATCCTTAAAACGTTCTCCTTGCTTAAAACATTTGAATGCCCCCCACTTGTTCTCAGGACCAAATCCAAAGCCCGCGGTAACCTTTAAGACCCACTGGTCCTGTTCTCCCCATACCTGGCTTTGAACTTCAGCTCCAGGACGCCCTCCCTTAGCCTCTCTCTGTTTCCTCGGTCCTTTCCCCACCTTTCCCCCTTTCTCACTCTCCCGGGTTACAGCCCTCTCCACCTCCTGGTCCCAACTTAAATGGAATGTCTTTCGAGAAGTCCACCCCCAGGCCAGGTGGGCAGTCTGTTAGCCCTCAGCCTTGGCGGGTCTCGCAAGCTGCAATTGCTTGTCATCAGCTTGTCTCCTGGCTCCGCTATGTGCTCGTCAATGCTTATAGGAAGAAAAGAGCGAAAGAAGACGCACTCTTCTATCATCCATCCCACACCCTCAGAATGGGGTCCTGGGCCCCCTGCTGGTGCACGCTCCCTTTCCCTTTGTGGCTCCCCACCGCTTTCCCCGAAGCTCAGAGGAGGGCGGCGGGAGTGGGGGCGAGGTGGTGGTGGTGAAGAGCAGGGCTGTGTGGCAGCACTCGCGGGCAGGCTCCACCGCGCTGAGCCTGCGCTGTGTCTGCAGGAGGCGGAATTCAAGGTGGATGTGCAGGAGTACTTGGGGCCGCTGCTGTTTGTGAAGCTGCGCAAACGGCACCTCCTTCAGGATGACGCCTGGTACTGCAACTGGATCGCGGTGCAGGGTCCCGGGGACAGCGGGGATGAGTACAGGTTCCCTTGTTACCGCTGGGTGGAGGGCAACGGCGTTCTGAGCATACCAGAGGGCACCGGTGAGTGCAGGGGTGGCAGCGTGAGGTGGCCTCTGGGGCGCCAAAGAGGGCGGGGCGTGTGTGTGTGCAGAGGTGGTAGGGCTTGGAGACTGGAAGCTGGAGGGCAGGCGTTCCTTGGGGTTACTGGCGCTGGCAGAGGGGCATGGAGGCTGGAGAGGGGCCAGCGAGAAGGGCCCGCAGAGGAGTGTCCCCGCGCAGGGACCAGGAGAGGGGGCTTAGGAAAGTCATTGCCCACGCGCCCCTCTGTGCTTCCAGGTCGCACTGTGCTCGACGACCCTCAAGACTTCTTTAAGAAATACAGGGAAGAGGAACTGAAAGAGAGAAGGAAGCTGTACCGGTTAGCCCTTGTCCCCTGATCCCACCGTGAGCTGCTGGCCCTTCAGAAATACCTGTGCTGATTCCATTTCTGCCCTGCAGGTGGGGTAACTGGAAGGACGGGCTAATCCTGAATATGACCGGGGCCACAATATGTGACCTCCCTGTAGATGAGCGATTTCTGGAGGACAAGAGAATTGACTTTGAGGCTTCACTGGCCAAAGGGTGAGAGCAAGAGGGACTGGGGGAGGCGGAGGCCAGTGGCTTGGGGGCTATACCAGGTAATGTTTGAGTCCCAGAATAAGACCCCAACTCTTTGCCCCATGCTTCTCTGAAGGCTGGCAGACCTTGCTATCAAAGACTCTTTAAATGTTCTGACTTGCTGGAATGATCTGGATGACTTCAAGCGGATTTTCTGGTGTGGGCAGAGCAAGCTGGCTGGTTAGTCCCCTCACCTGAGTGTTTCTCCCAGACCCTTTATTCCCAGATCCCACACAACTTGGGGAAATTGAAAGAACTAGGGTTGGGAGACCAGAGGCTTGAGATCATCTGGTAGTTTGGGGTCAAGTAGGGATGGTTTGGCGCTCAACAACTGCCTTCCCAGAGCGAGTGCGGGACTCCTGGAAGGAAGATGCCATATTTGGGTACCAGTTTCTCAATGGAGCCAACCCCATGCTGTTGAGGCGCTCCACTCACCTTCCTGAACGCCTAGTGTTCCCTCCAGGGATGGAGGAACTGCAGGCCCAGCTGAAGAAGGAGCTGGAGGTATGGACATCAGAGCACTAAGGAGGCCAAATGATGAAATGAGGCCAGGTTCAGCGTCAGTTGTACTGTGGTCTGAGTTGTTGCTATGTAGTAGAAGTCCTGAGCTTTGTGGCCTTCCTCCCTACATGAGAATAGTATACTGTGGAGCAGGCGTCCTCAAACTACGGCCTGCAGGCCACATGTGGCCTGCCTAGGACATTTATCTGGCCTGCTGGGTGTTTTTGCCGCCACTGACTGTCCTGCTTAGCAGCCAACTTGTCCCAGGGCCCGTAGTCCAGCCCTCCAACGGTCTGAGGGACAGTGAACTAGCCCCCTGTTTAAAAAGTTTGAGGACCCCTGCTGTGGAGGGAGGGGTAAAAGATGGAATGTGTGATAGAAACAGTCAGAATAAAGAATTATAACTGGACCTTCGTGCTGGGGACTTGGGAGGTGGTGCAGAGTAAAAGAATAAGGTCAGAGGGGTGTAATTGCTAATCAGAAGTTAACACGGACCAGCTGAAAGAGAAAATTAATGGGATTGTAGGGTCAGTCAGACTTGGATTTGAATCCTGGCTCTGCTGTTTGTGAGTAGTGTGACCTCAGAGAGAATACCCAATGTCTCTGATTACATTTCCTCTTCTATAAAACTGAGGCTAATTCAACTACATTTAAGAATTATATTGGCTCAGTGCCTGTGGCTCAAGCAGCTAGGGCACCAGCCACATACACCAGAGCTGGAGGGTTCGAATCCAGCCTGGGCCTGCCAAACAACAATGACAACTACAACCAAAAAATAGCCGGGCGTTGTGGTGGGTGCCTGTGATCCCAGCTACTTGGGAGGCTGAGGCAGGAGAATCTCTTGAGCCCAGGAGTTGGAGGTTGCTATGAGCTGTGATGCCACAGCATTCTACCCAGGGTGACAGCTTGAGGCCCTGTCTCAAAAAAAAAAAAAAAAAAAAAAAGAATTATAAGAGGTAATCAGCACTTGATGTATTACATGGCACAAATTAGGTGACGGAGACAAGTTAGTTCTCTTCTCTCTCTTCACCCTTTGGGGAAACAGTGTAGGAAGAAGCTGCCTTATGCTGGTAGTTGCCCTTGCCTTCTCCCCAATCCAGGCAGGCATGCTGTTTGAAGCTGACTTCTCCCTGCTGGATGGGATCAAGGCCAATGTCATCCTTTGCAGCCAACAGCACCTGGCTGCCCCTCTGGTCATGCTGAAACTGCAGCCTGATGGGAAACTCTTGCCCATGGTCATCCAGGTGAGAAACCCCAGGATTTCTGCTCCGCAGTGATTGGCCTCCTCAGGATATCCCCTCATCCACATTGACTGAGTAACCACTCTCTGCAAAGGCACTCTGCTGGGGTACTAGGGGAGCTATCAAAGGAGGGATGAGCAAAGTCTTTGATTTTTAAGGGCTTTGAAGTCTAATTGAAGAGACAGACTAGGAAAGTCTGAAGAAATTCCAGTACTGAGGAAGGGCCTGAGGACAGAGCCAGCCTGAGGTGAGGGATCAGTGGAGGTGAGGTGTCATGAACCTTGGAGAAGTGTCAGGACTTTGGTGAGCAAGAAGGAGGGGAAGGATCTATCCCCAGAGGCAAGATGGGTGGGCAGGGAGGCTGAAGCAGGAGCATCCTGGGGAACACTTGAGCCAGAGTTTGGGAGACTAACAGGGCCAGATTAAGGCAAGTTAAGGAGGGTGACATGGGAAGCTGGCAAAGGCTGTTGTGCAAGGTGCTGTGAGCACATTTTACAGGCAGTCATGTTTAAGATGGATTGGAGAAGGGAGATGCTAGACATGGAGATTAGGGTGACATCCTGTAGTGCTTGCTTGTGGTGGAGGTGATGGGTAGTGACCATAGGGATGAAGAGGACAGTACAGATGGACATTCAAGGAGAGAGGAAAAGGGGGAGGCAGACCAGGTACCTGCAGAAATAGGACACATAGAGAGGACAGGATGCTCATGAAGGCTTTGTCTCACCGATTTTGAGTTAACGGGGAGACATTCAAACTGTCCAGCAGGCAGCTGAGAACTGGAGACTTAGTCATTTGTGTGGAGGTGGTGTTGAAAGACTGGTGAGAGGCCGAGATTTCGGAAAAAGAGTGTGGGATGAAGGAAGCAGGAGGTTTGAATCTTGTCCATGCTGAGGGGACTGAAAGGGGAAGTGGAGCCTGCAGAAGGCAGTAGAAGGGGCAACTTCTGCAGAAGGCTAAGGGCAGAGCAGCTTGCATGGTGTTAGCTCATAGTGTGGGTAGGAAAAGGAACAGAAGAAATGGTAGCTGTAGGGGGTGGTGACAGTGAGATGGAGGATGGAGGGAGAGGCTGAACGTGCAGGGGAGGGGGATTGGCACTCATCCCCTCTCTCTCCTTGTCCCTGCTCTAGCTCCAACTGCCGAAAGTAGGATCGCCCCCACCTCAGCTTTTCCTGCCCACAGATCCCCCAATGGTCTGGCTTTTGGCCAAATGCTGGGTCCGGAGCTCTGACTTCCAGCTTCACGAGCTGCAGTCTCATCTTCTGAGGGGACACTTGATGGCTGAGGTCATTGCTGTGGCCACCATGAGGTGCCTTCCCTCAATACATCCTATCTTCAAGGTAACACCTTGTTTTCTTCTCTCTGGCCTGCCTCTCTGTCCAGGGCACATTCCCTCCTCTGGAGGCCCCTTCTCGGTGGATTCTCAGGGTATAGAGAGAACCAATCAATGGAAGACAGAGCAAGGGTGCGTGAGCATAACTGACTGTGGATTTTTGATGGGTGATATCACCTCCCAAGGGGGTGAAAATGATTCTTAGGGAAAGCGGCAAAAAAATCTAACCCCTTAAATGTATAAAGCATAGATATTCATATGGCAGACAAATATTACGTGCAGAAGACTGAAGACTCCATCCAGAGAGGACCACATAAATAACATAAAAGATTTTTTCTAAATCATCTTTGAAGAGTTCTAAAGCGGTAACATAGGCCAGTGAATGGGGCTCTGGGCCATTAATAGTAGCCTGCTTTATTACACTTACAGCAAGGTATTTACCCATTAAAAATGTTTATTGGATGACCTCTCTGTGGCAAGATCCACTCTAGGTGCTAGTGATTTCCAAGACAAGTGAGGTCCTGATTTGGGGGGATTTTTATTTCTAGTGAGGGCAGAGACAACACAGACTGTAATGTATCATATCAGCTGTCATGACTGTGAACGAGGCAGAAAAGCAAAGCAGGGTGACGAGATGGGGAGTTTCAGTTGGGTGCCCTAGAAAAGACTCCCTTGAGAGGACATAGAGAATGACACTAGTCAGGTGGGCAAGCCTGAGATGATTGAGAGGGCACAGTGTTGAGGCAGGAATGAGCTGGACTTGTTTGAACAACAGAAAGAAGATGAATGGCTGAAGGGGAGATGGAGGAAGTGGGGCTTTGGAGGTGCTAAATGGTTGGATCATGCATTCTCAATGCCCCCTGGGGGAAAGTGGGTAGGAGAGTAAAACAATCTTATCCTTATGTATATAGCACAGATAAAATACAGCACATAAACAGATATACAGTATGTATGTAACATTAAAATATCATGGATGGGAATTGAGATTCAGAAAAAAAATCTCAAAAGCCTTCTTATGGGGTAATACTAAAAGACATTTAAGGAACATTGGCTTTGACCTATGAAAAGAATATGAAAACAAAAGAAGAATGATTTCTTTCAGTTCTCACAGTGTTGAGTCAATGGTTTGTAGAATGAATTAGGTGATGCAAATCAACTAAAAACTCCTTAAAAATTTATTTTATTTTATTTTACTTTATTATTTTTTTAGAGATAGAGTTTTGCTGTGTCACCCAGGCTCAAGTGCTGAGACATGATCAGAGCTCACTGCAGCCTTGAACTCCTCACCTCAATGATCCTCCTGCCTCAGCCTCCAGAGTAGCTGGGACTACAGGCACATACCACCATGCCCCACTAATTCATTCTATTTTTTGTAGAGGAGAGATGTCACCATGTTGCCCAGGCTGGTCTCAAATTCCTGGCCTCAAGTGATCCTCCTGTCTTGGCTCTCAAAGTTTTGTGAATACAGGCATGAGCTACCATGCCCAGCACCAAATTAAAACTCCTGGTGCTGCGGGGCCACTGAACTTCATGTCTTCCTGAAGAGCTGGCACCTTTCCTGATTTTTAGCTCCTATTTCCCATAGGGACCTCCCACAGCTTTCTTTTGACTTGCCCTTCCATGCTTCTCTCCCTCTAGCTTGTAATTCCTCACTTGCGCTATACCATGGAAATTAATGTCCGGGCCAGGAATGGGCTGGTCTCTGACTTGGGAGTTTTTGACCAGGTATGGATACAGAAAGGGGAATTCTGGGTTCATTCTCCCTTGCAGCCTTAGGGCAACTTGACTGACCTGACCCTGTTGTCCTTGTCCCTCAGGTGGTGAGCACAGGTGGGGGAGGCCATGTGGATCTGCTCAAGCGAGCTGGAGCCTTCCTGACCTATAGGTCATTCTGTGTCCCTGATGACTTGGCTGACCGCGGGCTCCTGGGGGTCCAGGCTTCCTTCTATGCCCAAGATGCTCTACGGCTCTGGGAAATCATCTCTAGGTGAGCCAAACATGAGGCAGGGGTGGTGGGAATGAGGTGGGGGTGGAGAAGAAGGCAGCAGAATGGGGGGAGGGGTCTGTATATTGGTTAGGGGACTAGGACTCTGACCTGGCTATGGGGCCAGGAGCAGAGGGCATGGAGACTCCCTGATAGGCTTCAGCTCTCTGGCCATGACCTTTGGCCGGCAGGTATGTGGAGGGAATTGTGAATCTCCACTATAAGACGGATGTGTCTGTGAAGGATGACCCTGAGCTGCAGAGCTGGTGTCAAGAGATCACTGAAATAGGGCTGCTAGGTGCTCAGGACCGAGGTAAGAGGAGCCCCTGAACTGAGATCTCAGATGCAACACACAAGAGACCTCCCTAGAATCGTCTCTACTTCTTTGGAATCTTCCAGAAGTATGTTCAGCCCCTATGAAACTCCTAAAGGCCTTCCCAGATTCTATTCCCTCTCTCAGCAAGAGACAGGTCCCAACCACAGTGGGACCAGTGGTTGTTCATTTAAGGTTTAACAACTGGCCTTCTGGAACTAAAGCCGTATTTTGTAGCACTTGCCTGTTTCCATGGTGTAAATATTCTCACATGGCCGCCAATGTGGTGTTGTCTAGTTTGCTGAACACCTGAAGAGTTCACATCATGCACGCTTGTGAGCCAGCACGGGCACCCCGCTGAGTGAGACCCTCCCAGCAGAGCTCCTCTGAGTTACTGAGTGTCCCAGTACCCCCTTCCTACCCTTCTTGTTCTCCTCCCTCTGCCTTATTTCTGTGACCTTTGCCTTTATTCTGGTCTCATAGCTTCTAACTCTCCTCACTCCTTGCAGGGTTTCCCATCTCTTTACAGTCTCTGGAGCAGGTTTGCCGCTTTGTCACCATGTGCATCTTCACCTGCACTGGCCAGCACTCCTCTGTCCACCTGGGCCAGGTGCTTACCAGAGGGGGCAGCTGGGAATTTGTGGCCTGGAGTGGGGGAGGGGCTTTTGTGCTTAGCAGACATTGACTCTAGATCCTTATTCATTCTTAGCTGGATTGGTACAGCTGGGTCCCTAACACACCTTGCACGATGCGGCTGCCCCCACCAACCACCAAGGATGCAACATTGGAGACCGTGATGGCAACACTGCCCAATTTTCATCAGGCTTCTCTTCAGATGTCCATCACTTGGCAACTGGGCAGGCGTCAGCCCGTTATGGTGAGAGCCAGGTGCCCAGGGCCCTAAGGAAGGAGGCAGCTGCAGGGAGATGTGGCCCCCAAACTGGGGGTCAGAAGTCTTCAGCTATCTTTTCCTCTCCATCCAAGGTGGCTTTGGGCCAGCATGAGGAGGAGTATTTTTCAGGCCCTGAGGCCAAGGCTGTGTTGAAGAAGTTCAGAGAGGAACTGGCTGCCCTGGATAAGGAAATTGAGAGCCGGAACACAAAGCTGGACATGCCTTATGAGTACCTGAGGCCCAGTCTGGTGGAAAACAGTGTGGCCATATAAATGTCCCCAGCCTCTGGTTGTTTCAGCCTCCTCCAAGCTGCAACTCACCCTTTGTTGGTTTCACTCCTGCCCTCCCAAGCCCTGTCCTCTTTTCCCCATGTCCCACTTCGTTGTCTCTGCTCCCAGCAAACAGATTTTATTCTAGATGAATATCTTAGGGGGCTTCATTTCTCCTTTCTCCCTCCTTCCATTCCTACTTTCTTCCCTCTTCACTCAGATCAGGGTGGTAATACATATTACTTATTCCACATCGTTCATACACCAAATGCGATTCTGAACCTAAATCAAGTTTAACAACAAATCGATATTTTAGACAACTGTGTTAAATAAAACATTGGCAAAAGAGTATAGAGCATCAAAATATTTCTCTTTGTGACTGGATAGGAATTAGCACACATCCCAAAGCCAAATACACCACAAAGCAAACCATTTACACAGAGATTCTCAAGTTTTTAATTCTCAGGATTTTTGCTTCATAGCTTACACAGACAATGATAAACCAAAGGAAGCTGGTTGCTCTGGAGAAGCTGCTTTTGGCTAGAAGCTGCTTTTAGCTGCTATTTAGTCTCCTGGCTTTAGCCATTTCTATAACCCATTTGCAGTTTGTCAGTTGAGAAGCTTCCAGTTAATGTAATTAACTGAGAAATACAAAACATTTCATGATCATCTTAATGAGTATACAACAGGGAATTTAATATAGTTCAACTTCTGCATCTGGTTAAAATTTTGGCAAAATAAACTTTGAAGTTTTATTTCTTCATATGATAATCTGTGGATATTTTACAATAAAAGTTAAAAGTATACACAAACCAAAAGAATTTCCTTTATAAGACAAAGTTATTTCTTGTCCCTGATTCTTTTTTTTTTT